TCCTCGGGTGGTTTTCCACATAAAGGTGAGAAATGCTGTACATTTCTCGAAACCAGGAAAGCCTTACTACAACACACCATGTCTAACATTGACATTTATTTACTGATGCAGCAATAGTGATCGAGGGGGAAGCACGAGAGACAGAAGGCGTTTGAGTGATGCTGACATTGATTTATGTTCTGTCTAACTGGTGCATGATCACAATGCTGGCTGGGATTTATTCACAACTCATAAATGTCACAACTGATTCTTTGTACTAATTACTATGGTCTCAAAAGTGTTGAAACAGACAGGCACACAGCAATACATAGACATGCCTGATGCATGATAAAAGGGAATTCATAAAAATGTTTAAAATACTGTATTGTGGATTATTTTGGTGCACCACTAAATTTTCATCATGGGAACTCTTTTGCACCCTCCTAAATCATGACTAACTAAAATTTCCCACACAGATGAATACACATTAAGGCATATTTAAATACCAATTTCATGCTCCAATGCGTTGAACTCTACAGGCCGAAGTAATGTTCAACTTTGACATCATTTTCCCCTGACGTTTCAAAACACAGCCAATGATTGCTAGACAATTAGCATGATGAGGTGGGTGTTGCCAGCCTGAAAATCAAAACAAGTTGGAAGAGAGATTGTACAGATGCATAGAACACAATGTCAAAGGCACATCATGCAAACTGCTGAGTGAATATCTTTTTCTGCTACACCTCACATCTTCTTTACAAGTACTTCTGTTGTATTTCATAGGAAATTGCTAGGGAATTTCATTGATTTCTAATCAAACATTAACAACGCAAAACTGAGTTAAACTAAGTTAAACATTACCATCATCTCTACATCCTCATCTAGAAGTATGAGGTGTGTATGGAGGTTAAGTAACTTCATGTTCTGAGTGCTAATCAGACATGTGCAGGTCCACACTGGGGATCTCCACAGATTTCAAACACATCATGCACAAAGTTCTTCACTTACTAAGATACTAACCTCTCTTAGAAAATCACATAAAACATGATTTCAGAATTACCATCGTGTTTTATGGAACTTTTTTGTATCTAAGGAAAAGCACACTACTTGATGATGCAGATATATAAATGTAAATTTTACAAATGCAACTTTACGCCTTAATGTTGCATTAAATTATTTTTACTGCTATTTTGCAGGACACAATACAACATTTAGAATCAAATGTAAATGCCAATATTATGATGATTCGAGTAATTTCTGTACAAATATCCATGGATTATTTACATTAATCTGTAAAATAATGAAATATTCATGCATATCCAAAAACGCTACAGAAAAACTGTGAACAACATTAAATGTTTAGGACTTGCCAGAAAGCATTAGATATTAGTTTGTAATTCAGTTTATTCCATAAGACCTAACTTAGCTAAGTGCACCTCAGTCTTCCTGAGTGTTTTAGTAGATTTCTAATAAGTTGAATTGCAATGGTTTTGCAGTTAACTGTTAATTAATTGTTTTTATAAATTAAAAACAATATTAACATTTGATCATCCTCTGAGATGTTAAAACACAAGCATAAATTGTTAAAAATACAGATATAAAAAGACAACATCGAAGAGTGTCTGCAATGCATAAAAACAAAAAAAAATTAAAAAAAGTTTTTAAAAATGGTCATCAATAAAAATTGGAAAAGCTTGTGCCAATAAATTTTCACTATGTATGACATCAATATGCACTAGAACACTGACGTATAAGTGACACAAATCATCATACCATCCCGCAATGAATCCAGCTGGTCAGATGAGAGGTTTTTAGATGCATGTTAATACCCGTTTTTGACTGACCACTTGTGATTAGATAACCCAAAACGTGTGTTGATACCAAATGTACACTGAGCCAATAATTAATAGCAGAGCTATATGCTAAAGCTGTAATATAAAAAGCACAGATGGTGCACATTAATTGGACTTAGCAACAATGTCAACAAAATGCCAATGTGATTATTGCCAAAATTATACATCTAAACTTCTTGCAACTTTGTGTGCGGAGTTTACACTGGGTTTAAGTCATATCATGTAGGTGCTGCAGACAGCATATTCATACCACATGCCAACAGATATTATATTCAAAATTTTAGCATTTACCTGTAGGACAGCAATCATTGCACCAGCCAGTCTGCGCTGAAAGTACCTACACTTCTAGAGAGCGTCTGACTCAAGCATCAACTCAGAGCAGGAGTAACTGAGGTGCTGTGGCCAGTTTGGTCAAACAGATACTCAAAACAGATGTTTAACTTCTTGGTTGTTGACCGTCATTATAAAAAAAACTCTGAGAACACTGGAGGTAGATTCAGAAGATTCAAGAAGAATACAAGATATCTTCCATTTGATGCTTTCCTAACAAATAACAGCTATTTATTAGCTTAGGCTATGAAGAAATTATCTGCCTTGAATCATCAACTCAAGTCAAAAGTCACCAGTAATTGTGACAAGAGTATCCGAGTTTATAAAATGGATAGTTACCACAACAAATTCTGATTGGATGAGTCACATTCAAAGGCACATAAATTGCAGATATGCACACAGGTGCACATTCTATATAACACTGAAAGCTGCTTTGATGCTTGGCAACCATAAACATGCTGCAGCCGACAGAAGTGTTTATTTAACAACACACCTTATCCATGCTACAATCACTAAAATCACATCCATGCAAGGCCTTTCATGGCTTGAGCTTGAATTTATCAAGTCAAGTCATCAAAACCGAGATCAGAATCTGGATGTTTTTTTTGTTTTTTTTTTACACATCTCTGATTCTAATATTGACCCTGGTCTTGGCCCTGGTCAAAATGTGAAAATGGACTGAAAGATTCTTAAAAGCCTCTCAAAACTGATTTAATATATAAATTTTTTCTCATATGTAGCAAAGAAACTCAAAGGAGAGCAAAGTTTGCTCAGCAAACAAATGTCTTCTACTGAAAAATATACTATTGTAATCTCACGTGTGTCTCCTCTAGAGTTTCAGAGGAGATCTCAACAACACAACTCATATTTGCCTGCAATCAAAATTCAAAGGATTCATTATGAAATTTTCTCAGCAAATTCTTCCATAAGCAGATAATCTTAGCTATGCTATCCATGTTACTTTTATAGCTCTATACCAGTGATGGGCAAACTTGGCCCTTCTCGGCCACTTTCCTGCAGAGATTTGATCCAACCCTGATAAAACTCACCTGCCTGTAGCCTTCTAGTAGTCTTGAAGACAATGATTAGCTGGTTCAGGTGTGTTTGATTAGGGTTGGAGCTAACCTCTGAAGGAAAGTGGCCTGGAAGAGCCAGGTTTGCCCACCCCTGCTCTATACTCTTACTATAGCCAGGTTTCCATCCAAAGTTGCGAGTTTAACTTATGAGCAAAATTGGAATATCGCACAAAACATTTGCGAACAAGCAAATGTTAAATGATAAACTGGCACAATACATCACTAAGAAAAGTAGGAGAAGATCGGCTTTCACCGTGGACGAAGCGGAGTCCAGCCTGGGGTTGTCACATGTGGTTGCCGCAAGCCCACCGCCTCTGCTCACTCTTGGCCGCGGTGTGTGACGCTGTGTTTCGTTGTGAAAGCGAAATGCGCAACGCGTAAAAAGACAGTATAAGTCATTATAACCCATAATTATGTCGCCACTGGATGCAACGAATGCCTCGTTTAACGAATGCCTCCTTTATAATGGGTTTTCATGTTTTTGAATCATAGCTCCGGCCTGACAGGGCATCATCACAGTATGGTAGGGGGCGTAACATTTCCGTCACACGCTT